GAGTGATATACAATTGTCAAGTGAGAAGCCCACGAACCCTTGGCAATCGTGATGATTGGTGACTAACCACTGAATGATGAACGGGGTAATATAGAACTCAAAACATAAAGTGATACATGCTATAAAAACCTTCTATGATAATACTAAGAAATAACCACATTCTTATGATGTCTTTGCCTCAAATGCAAACATAGGTTATCCTTAACATATTTCAACAAACAAAAGAGCAGCAACTTTGTACATATCAGGTTTCTGATGATGGTTTTCAAAGCACACGGGTTAAGGGGCAAAGCCCCCCGGATGCATGGCATGCTTTCCAGGTGAAGCCATTTATTGGTTTTCTTAAAGTGATAATGATATTCTTGGAAGCAGTTAATGCTTTGTTGTTTTTGTATCTAATGTAATTCTAAAAAATCGATCAGAATATTTAGGTACTTGTCTCTTTAAGGTAGCTTTGTTATATGGAAGCTAACGCGAAAATGACTGTAAGTGCTTTTTTGCTGACGTCATACATTTCAATGAGAGCAAGTCAATCTGACAACAAAGCTTATAAATATATCAACTGAAAATTAAAAAAAAATCAAACGATTGATAAACTGTTGGCGAAACAAGAATGTACATAAGATACACAAGTAACTAGAACTTTTTTATATAAATTCAGAACTACCAAACCAACAAATGAATCAGAGTGCTCTTATATTTAAATCAGGATTGACAGAAAGTCTGCAAGTTGATTAATATGACTTGATAATTGATAATATCGATGATTGATATATAAGAGTTTAATCATAACATAATGATATCTGATTTTCATTACATACAACTAGTACACAAAGTCACGTGTAGGTTACTTACCTTTAAGTTATATTTCGTCCTGATCGAAGAAAGATCTTGACCAGACATCTTCGTCTGCTACTGTCAAATATATTTGAGAGTTGTTATCCGTGCACGTGCTCAAGGGACGAAAGTAATCTATTTCAATATAAAGGAAAAAATGTCTTTCTTTTTTAATACAAATATATTGTTTATCTAATAATAATATATATTGATATCTAATTTTGATAATCATTGACGCTGCTTGGTGCCCATAATAATTTAGATGGAGACAGACATGGTTCCTGTAGTGACATTCATTGCGTCGTCTGTACTGCACGCCATTTACATTCCAAATGGAAATCCCAGACATAAGGGCATGCCTTTATATATCATACACAATTGTATAACATGATTCTATGGTCAAACCACTTAATAATACATCCCAAAAGGGATTCAGTGATTAGTACACTGAGACTGTTGAACATGAACACATGAATAACACAGGGATCCGAATACTAGTCTCAACGATTATGGATTTTTTTTAAATATCAAAAAATTATACAGCGTATACAAAAAGGGTTTATTTGTTTGTCATGCAATACGTTGTGTCTGATTTCCTATTACCATTAATATCCCTCACTAATTAATTCGGTGTAGTGTTATGCTTTCTACTCGCATTGCTGCTCCGTATGTTAGCCTCTTTGTCAGAATTATCCCACGACAGGTATCAAGCTGACAGGCATCTATATTGGTAATTTTAAGTAATTGGTGTAGTATGTGTGGTGGAGACTTGTGAATATTTTCCCTGAAGGCCATAAAAGACAAAAGACAAATATGATGAGGGAGAAACATTATTATGTATAGTGTGGTAACTGATACAGTACTAATTCTGGTTAATATTTTTTTTCTTCACTAGGCCATAAAAGGCAAAGGCAAATATCATGATGAGGGAGAAACATTATTATGTATAGTGTGGTAACTGATACAGAACTAATTCTGGTTAATATTTTTTTCTTCACTAGGCCATAAAAGGCAAAGGCAGATATCATGATGAGGGAGAAACATAGTTATGCAGTGTTTGGTAATTGGCGTAGTATTAATGATGGTGGATATCTTCTCTTTAGGTTATAAAAAGTGAGGTAAACATCACGAAGAGAGACATATATCTATGTAGAGTATGGTAATTAGTGTAGTGTTCATCCTGGTGGTGACTCTTTAGTAATGTATTTTTGTGAGGTTTACCGAAAGCTTGTAGCAAAAAGGATGAATTATCGCGGAAGACACGCCAACGAAATACTAGGATACTGTAAACAGTGAAACAGTGCTGCGGTTTAATTTTATCTGCTGCAAAAAGGAAACTAAAACTGAATGAAAATTCTGAAACTAACAATTTAATGTAATTTCAAAGGAATTCAACTCAATGCGATGATTATTAGTCTAAAGACGAAAGAGCCCGAATGTTTCTTCATATTCAGTAATAGGAGCTGTTTGTTAATATGCTGATCACTCACAATATTTTCCTTAACAGCATAAACTTAATTTCCTTTCCGTAAAGGTAAACATTCTCTTCCAAGTCACAACAAGTGTAACCCATATGTTCCAACATATTGTTTTAAAAATGCGTTCCTAACATGTGATATCTGGTATAGTCATGTTTTATGTCATTTTCAACACAAAACATTTTCGTTTGTTCACGCTAACCTCATTATCTAAAGTTTCCTGCGCGAGGGCAATTTACGATTTTGACATACAAGGGGATCACCTTACCGAACATTATGTTCCAGTGGGCAAACAGAAATGTAACCTTCAGAGAAAGAAAGGCTTCAGTTTATAGACATCTGTTTGACCAAATCTCAATAAATGTTATCAGTACAAAATTACGTGTTTCGATGATTTTAATGACCTACCACTCATTTAAACGGAAATCGATCACATGAAAACACTAGCACTAGGTGTGCGTTCATCCGAGAGTTTGACTACAGTACGAGAGTTTGACTACAGTACGGAGATACTTTAAAACGAAAGTTTTTATTTTGTAAACTGGCCTCAACACTTCAATTTCTTCCTTTTGTAGCCATTTAGTATGTTCGAGGGATAATCACTTTCAGTCACGTGATTTTCTACTGTAACGGTGTACTGAGGTTCGGCCAACAAAGTTATAGTTGGATCGAGCTAAATAATAATGTATGGGTTGTAGGATTTCCGGATCCTGCACTCGGTAAAATCTTAAATTAACTTTCACACATTGATTCGCTTTTATGAAATACATGGCAAAATAATTTTGTATGTAAGTTTCATAAATTGCCTGTGATAAAGTGAATTTTATTAGTCTAGTATTGTTAAGAGGTAGATAACAACTTCAAACATAGTCAGACAGGTGATTGCCATTATTTTCTTCCTATATAAAAAAACAAAAGTTTGATTTCAGGTTCATCATGAGATGGTTTGCTTATCAAATGGTCCTATGTCCTCAATCGTTGGCTGTCCGTCCGTTAACGAATCTTGTTATAGCTATTTCCCCAGTTATCAGAAATACACAATAGCTGACAGGCGGTCATCTTGGATTTTGAAAATGAAAGTTTGTAATCGATCTTCCTTGAGAAGTACTGGATGGATCTCCCAAGATTCATTTTGATGTTCCCTCGGTCTGTGCGCGACTGATTTTTGGACAGAAAAAGGCCGAATTTAGCATTATTATTTGCTGATAATAAAATCAGGTGTTCCAGAAAGGTATAAATCTCGACAAGTGCCGTGTAAATCTTTGGTTAATTTAAATAATTAATGTCATGTTAAATTGAATAACAACTGAACTATTATGCATACCAGGCATACTGAGTTTAAAAGTAAATTCACACTTAATTCTAATAAATGAACACAACATATCACAAGGTTAATAACTGCTTTATTTAGGGTGTTTAAAACATAAGGAGAGCTAGATTTTTGTTTCCATGTCCCATAGAATGATTCTTGCTTCTTAAGGTAATGACGTATGTGAGCCATACGCAAGTTTAACAGCGAGTCTATTAGATACAACCTTATTAGCAATTATTCCCGCCTTTTATCAATTTTGTATATAATATATATAGAGGCATGTAAAAATCTTAATATCAAAGTCAATGAATATGTAACCCTGTATAGATATTACGTTTGCCCAGTCTGTGTAAGCAGCGCTTGGATGTTTTACGAAACATAAACACGCAATTCATACAATCAGTGTCCTTCAATATTAAATAATAATGACATTGCCACTGAAAAGTCACGTATTTACTACAGTTCTATGCCGCTAATTAAAACCTCCACTTAGCGTTCTACAGGAATATCTATCTATATTGCCCTTAAGTTGATACATCAGTTGGCTGATGAGACTTCTGTGTCTAGGATTTTCCTGTAACATTGCACTTCGAAAATACACATATACTTGACGCTGTTCTAAAATTATATCTGATGTATGAAAATTACGATTTTTTTTTTAAAATTATGGCGCTGCTGAACCTCTCCGTCTATATTTTGATTGTCTTTTGATCATTTTGGATTTTCCTAGGTCGCCTTTTTGGCTGAAGAGTCCTAGAAGGACGAAACAGCTGTATGACGTACTTTGATTTTTCTTTGACTCAACTGTATCTTACTCTAAATTATAAAAAACGTGCTATCCACTTGTGTGTCTTTTGTACAATCTCCGAAAATAAAATTTTGATAAAAAAGTGCAATGTGGATAATTCCATTAATCAGTTCTTTAGAAGGTTGCCAAGAGAGTTTCATAATCATGAGAGTGAGCATCAAGGGACCACCGATGTTTAATACAGAACACGTGTCTTTAATAGCCATAGAAGCTAAAGCTAATACTAGTAACTGAAATGTATCAATTGCAGGTATTCAAATGTATGCAGAAATATACGAAAAAGAGACATAATGCGATTGGCAAGCATCCATATATACGACAAGCCATTTTAAAACACACAATAAGTGCTGATTTAACAAGTCTCGACAATAACGTTTGATCGCAAAAGCAATGTATGATATAAAATTTGCAATGTAGCTAATAATAATCGCGATATGTGTAGAGTAACGGCAAGTAGATTTTATGATCTTTTCAAAAGTATTCTCTAATGACTGTCTAAACCAGCTCAAAGGTCTTCTGTGGTGACCTATTTTGTATCAGAAGATATTCGTGCCCAGACATATGTTCAGCAATGGTCATAATCATTATCGTCGTTCTCAGACTCGTAACGGTGATTTTGCTTCCTCAACTCATCATAAGCACCGTCGTCCATTGCATTGGTTTGAGCATGCCCCACTCTCATGTGATCATAAGGATCTAAATCTTCACCAGACTTGTCTGCAAATTTTCGTTCATATTTCCCGTCATGTTGTGATGTTGATTGCGCAAATGTTGAATACCCACCATTTGCCATGTCAGTGGTTTTTGTGTGGTTCGGCTCTTCCAGGAGAAAATAATTGTCCGTTTGAATTCCAGGTATCTCCTTATTTCCGGTTCCGGTAATTGCTGTGGTCTCTTTTGTCACACTTCTTTGGTTGTGTAATGATTTAGAGCTTCCTTCCAGGAGGAAATAGTTGTGTTCCTCCGGCGAAATAGGTTCTTTTTTTCCCTGCATCGCTTCAACATGCTCATTGACATCATTGTCCTTAGCTTCAAGTGAATTTTGTCCTGTTTTCTCAAGTTTGAAATAGTCATCACTATTAGTCACCAATTTGGCGAGATCATAATCATCATTATGGCACGGAACTTTCGGTTCATTCCTGATGTATGACTGCCCATTATCTGTTTGGAATGCAGTCTTCGTTTCCTGATGATGGCTGTCCTTTGTGAAATCAACACATTTTTCCTGATCTGGTGTTGATTTCGGACCCTGAAGCTGAGGTCGTCTCCCAAAATTAGCATAACTATATTCTTCTTCGGTAGGTGTCTTAAATTTTGGGTCGTCGACTATGTCATAGTCATGCACGTCATTTCTTTCAAGCTCTTCATATCCGGCATTGTCCTGTCCTGAGTCTTCCTTCACATCCTAAATATTGAATGATTAAAAATTGACAACTATTGGTGTAATTCGTTGCGATTTATCTAAATCATAATATATTTCATTGTCAGTGTTATAGAGATAAATATAATTCTACTTTATAAAGAAAGATGCTTATTTAGATTAAAGTATATTTAACGTCGGCAAACCTAACAAAATAGTTCATATTATCAACATTTATAAGGAAAAATATTTTTGACAGAAGATATACTTTCAGAATATCATTAGAATAATCACTCAGCTTTTAGTTGGTAGTGATATTTGCAAACTGCTGAGGCACAGTTGGTGAGAGTAGAATGAATTTTTAGATTACAAATCGTGTTACATGTCAGTTTCTATTTTGAAACACTCACCTGTGTGTCTCTATATGATTGATTTGTGATGCAGGACTCGGAGTATTCTAATGGTCTCTTATTTCTTGAAACAAAATAAAATTTTGTTTTAGCCTTAGTATACTTATATATACATTTTTTCTATTTTTAATTTGAATCTGTTATCTTAAGTTTGGTCCGCCTGTCAATTTTTACGGACTCGACTCAGGATTGTGGGTATATGGACTGTTTGAACCTGCAGCCTGTGCCGTGATCAATTGACAAACTTTGACTCCATCTTGTTATATAATTATATTACCTATCTAATCTTACTATTCTTTAACACTATAATTTAAATGATGGTAATGCTTGCCTAACATTTCTGTTAGATAATTATTCATCTGAATCTATATTCTAAACTCTTATACCTGGAAAGCTATCATTATTATTTAATATCTTAAATTTTGATTGATGTGTCTGTGTACTTGTTTAAGTTGTATGGAGAGGGCTTTCATAGGCTCTGCCTGTTGCCCAATTCCATTTGTCATCAACATCAAGACAATAAAATATTCTGAAATGAAATTTGATGGAGAAGGCTGATTAGATATTTAGAAAAAAAAAAAAAAAAAAAAAAACAAACAAATGCCATCCAAGTAAATATTTCTTGAAAAGTTTATGTTTATGATATATTAGACACATTGTTCTTGCTAGTAGAAATATTTCATTTCCTAACAGAAGTAAGTCACTTAAAGAATTTTGTTTAAAAACAAAGTAAAGAAACTTCTGTTTAGTATTGATCTCTTAACAGGCAAATACAAAAAAAAAGATACCTAAAAACCTGGGCTAATAAGGAAGATGACACGAAAGTAGAACCGAAGGAGGTAATTGGGTTACAATACCACAACATGGAATATAACATTACAAGAGGCCCAATGGCCCTGCATCACTCACCTGGTATTCAATGTTAGTAAATAAATGAACACCATTGGCAAATAAAGTAAGCAAATATCTATTTTAACTGCTTTCCACAACAAATATTCGCTTCTAACACTCGTTTCTTATCTGTGGCAGTTAAGACATTGATTAAAGATGGTATGTTTTTTTCTATTTTTCAACATGTTTCAGGCTATGACCTAGAAACACATTTCGCCAGGTAATCTGATTCTCCGACTTTTTGTTAAGAAGGTAAGCTAATAAATGTGATGTGAGCAAACAAGGGCACATTTATGAAATCTTTTTCGTTATAACGCTATATAAACAAGCTGAGGATACATAAAAACAGGAAATTACGAGTACTTAATTTTGAATGTTTAATATGTCTCATAATAATGATGTTCTAATTTACTTTGTGGATATAAGGTTAACTAATCCACATGGAATTTATGCATATGTTACTCATTGCTATTAATAGTAAAAAAACTGACAATTTTATCAAATTTATATATATAGTGTAATATGGCTCATTAACGATATGTACCGTTTTCTTCGGAGACATACAAGCACGGTAGTACCACTGATTATTAGCGCCAGAGCGATGAGACCACCGATGATCGCCATTGTTGGAACGCCATCTTGTTCACAAACAAAACAAAACTGCAATTATAACTCAAAGATACACTACTGACTCATTTATAATTATCTATTTTTAACATAGAGATTCAGAAACACTGCTTACTGTGGTGTGCTGATAAACTACTGACTGTGGTGTGTTGATACAACACTGACTGTGGTGTACTGATACACTGCTGACTGTGGTGTAGTGATACACTGCTGTGTGGTGCTGATACACTACTGACTGTGGTGTACTGATACAATGCTGACTGTGGTGTACTGATACACTACTGATTGTGGTGTACTGATACAACACTGACTGTGGTGTACTGATTCAACACTGACTGTGGTGTACTGATACACTGCTGACTGATGTACTGATACACTACTGACTGTGATGTACTATACAACACTGCCTGTGATGTGTTGATACACTACTGACTATGGTGTAATGATACACTACTGAGTGTGGTGTGTTGATACACTACTGAGTGTTATGTACTGATATACTGCTGACTGTGATGTACTGATACAACAATGACTGATATGTACTGTTACACTAGTGACTGTGGTGTACTGATACACTACTGATTGTGGTGTGCTGATACACTACTGACTGATGTGTACTGATACACTACTGACTGTGGTGTACTGATACACTACTGACTGTGATGTACTGATACACTGCTGACTGTGATGTACTGATACACTACTGACTGTGATGTACTCATACACTGCTGACTGTGATGTACTTATACACTACTGACTGTAATGTACTGATACACTACTGACTGTGATGTACTGATACACTGCTGACTGTGATGTACTGATACACTGCTGACTGTGGTGTACTGATACACTACTGACTGTGATGTACTGATACACTACTGACTGTGATGTACTGATACATTACTGACTGTGATGTACTGATACACTACTGACTGTGGTATACTGATACACTACTGACTGTGATGTACTGATACACTACTGACTGTGATGCACTGATACACTACTGACTGTGATGTACTGATACACTACTGACTGTGGTGTACTGATACACAACTGACTGTGGTGTACTGATACACTACTGACTGTGATGTATTGATATACTACTGACTGGTGTACTAATACAATAATGACTGTGATGTACTTATACACTACTGACTGTAATGTACTGATACACTACTGACTGTGATGTACTGATACACTGCTGACTGTGGTGTACTGATACACTACTGACTGTGATGTACTGATACACTACTGACTGTGATGTACTGATACATTACTGACTGTGATGTACTGATACACTACTGACTGTGGTATACTGATACACTACTGACTGTGATGTACTGATACACTACTGACTGTGATGCACTGATACACTACTGACTGTGATGTACTGATACACTACTGACTGTGGTGTACTGATACACAACTGACTGTGGTGTACTGATACACTACTGACTGTGATGTACTGATATACTACTGACTGGTGTACTAATACAACAATGACTGTGGTGTACTGATACAACACTGACTGTGGTGTATTGATACACTACTGACTGTGGTGTACTGATACACTACTGAGTGTGGTGTGCTAATACAACACTGACTGTGATGTACTGATACACTACTGACTGTGGTGTACTGATACACTACTGACTGTGGTGTACTGATATACTACTGAGTGTGATGTACTGATACACTACTGAATGTCATTTACTAATACATTACTGAGTGTGGATGAACTGTTCAAATCAATGAATTAATCAATCAATCAATCAATGGCTAGCTAATATTGCGTTTAATGCTATTTTACGGTAAATGTGCATTATTTCACCGTTTCTTTATTGCGAGACGTAATAAAATTATGATTATTTAAAATGAAAAGCATCTAAATGATACAGTAATAAATGAGCTTTATTGACCAAAATGTGTCTGACATGTTCTGACATAGTACAAAACATTACACATTATCATACCTGTTGCCTCTGGAACTGTGGTAGGCGTCGTATTTAATTCGTCGACAAGGGAACTGGATCCATCTATGTGTAAATGGAACATTTTTGTCACATTTGAACAAAGATTCATTTGGATAATATTACTTTTATACTCAATTTATATCCCTGGAGGAGACTGATACACTACTGACTGTGGTGTAATGATACACTACTGACTGTGGTGTGTTGATACACTACTGAGTGTTATGTACTGATATACTGCTGACTGTGATGTACTGATACAACAATGACTGATGTGTACTAATACATTACTGACTGTGGGTAATGATACACTACTGATTGTGATGTGTTGATACGCTGCAGACTGTGATGTACTGATACAACACTGACTGATGTGTACTGATACACTATTGATTGTGGTGTACTGATACAACGCTGACTGTGGTGTGTTGATACACTGCTGACTGTGATGTGTACTGATACACTACTGAGTGTGGTGTACTGATACAACACTGACTGATGTGTACTGATACACTACTGACTGTGGTGTACTGATACACTGCTGACTGTGATGTACTGATACACTACTGGCTGTGATGTACTATACAACACTGCCTGTGATGTGTTGATACACTACTGACTGTGGTGTAATGATACACTACTGACTGTGGTGTGTGGATACACTACTGAGTGTTATGTAGTGATATACTGCTGACTGTGATGTATTGATACACTGCTGACTGTCGTGTACTGATACACTACTGACTGTGGTGTAAAGATACACTACTGACTGTGATGTACTGATACACTACTGACTGTGATGCACTGATACACTACTGACTGTGGTGTACTGATACACAACTGACTGTGGTGTACTGATACACTACTGACTGTGATGTACTGATATACTACTGACTGGTGTACTAATACAACAATGACTGTGGTGTACTGATACAACACTGACTGTGGTGTATTGATACAACACTGACTGTGATGTACTGATAAACTACTGACTGTGGTGTACTGATACACTACTGACTGTGGTGTACTGATATACTACTGAGTGTGATGTACTGATACACTACTGAATGTCATTTACTAATACATTACTGAGTGTGGATGAACTGTTCAAATCAATGAATTAATCAATCAATGGCTAGCTAATATTGCGTTTAATGCTATTTTACGGTAAATGTGCATTATTTCACCGTTTCTTTATTGCGAGACGTAATAAAATTATGATTATTTAAAATGAAAAGCATCTAAATGATACAGTAATAAATGAGCTATATTGACCAAAATGTGTCTGACATGTTCTGACATAGTACAAAACATTACACATTATCATACCTGTTGCCTCTGGAACTGTGGTAGGAGTCGTATTTAATTCGTCGACAAGGGAACTGGTTCCATCTATGTGTAAATGGGACATTTTTGTCACATTTTAACAAAGATTCATTTGGATAATATTGCATTAATACTCAATTTATATTCCTGGAGGAAACTTAGGTATCTAAATCGGTTAAATATTAGTTTGTCCTCCGCATATCTGCTTATCATATTTGAATGAAGAGTGTTAAGATACAATTTCTCCAGCTGTACGGACGTAAGGACCTACAACTAGCAAGAGCATCACATCGATGGAACCTTCTGCCTCCTCCCCAATTTGCAATTTTGAGTTTAATCAACCATCGCCTTTTTCCTATTCAGATACATGTAAATCATCAATCAATTTAAACACAGCGTCCAATTATCTTTTAGAATCCAATTAAGAAATTTGACATAATTGTTTCTGTAATTCTAGGTTAAACAAACTCTAAAAACGCTTGTTGTAATTAGCAGTTTTAAAGGAAATGTCAATGACGATTTTTTTTTTCAGGTTGGGCGCAAAATTGTCAATTCCTCTGACAGGATTTGAGAATAGGCAAATGTATATAATTTTGATTTACAAGTATATCACAGGAAAATTGATAATTCTTTATTCCCAATCCTGAATTTTAAAAACAGAGAAGAAAACGTTATACTATTATATAAAACAATTGGTAGTTACTCATAAATTTAAAAGAGTGATATATTTTAATAAATGCATATTTATTTCTTGGAAGAAAATGACTTACTACACTTCCATTGCCAACATACGTCTGGTAATCAAAAATTCTAAATTTACAAAATATTCCCAGAAACTCAAGATTAACTTCAAAAATAAGTCTATCCTTTAAATGAACATGCATTTGTTTACGATTGAAGGAAATAGGCCGCGTTTTAACATTTACTTACATACGCAATTGCAGAAAAATCCCAAGCATGCGTCGGCATCTGTGTCATTGCATTTACTGCACATATTGTTTTCACATTTACATAAAAAGCACGTACAATTCTGTGTGGTATTGTGGTTTTGAAATTCTGGAAACACCATAGAAAATCCACCATCTCCTATTTTTTGTCCAAAACGAAGCTTTCCCCTTCTCGAACATGTTGTATTCAAGTCACAATAAAGACTATGAACTGCAATGAAAAAAACATTAAATTACGTTATTGGTCATGAACCATTATGCCCTACGTAGTTTATTTGTGAAAAAATTAATGATATTTTGATAAATACTTGTTTCAGACTCTCTAAGTGCCACTACATTGCAAGAACCTGTATAAGGAGTGTATTAATATTATTTTAAGTACCTTTCAAACTAATAATTTTAGAATTCTCAATGCGTTTACTTCGTGGTACCCTCTTACATTTTCCATTTCATTCGGGTATGAAGAAATGTATGACGAAGCTTTGTTTCAATTAAAACTATTGACAAGTGAAACATCAACAGGTGATTACGTTACTGTTACTCAACTATGACGTCATTAACTTATAGTAACTCGTGCTTGTTCGATTTCTTTCGATAGGAATATAGTTTTCAACATATGCATAGAAAGAATGGATATCACATAACATCACACATAACTCACTTTGCGTGTAATTTTCTAAACTTTGGAAGTCGTAACGTAATGAAATGAATTCGTTGTTTTCTGCCAAATGATAACAATTTCCTCTTGAACATGAGAGTTTCATATTTGATCTCTGGCACGTTCCTTCCGATCCACACGCAGTTTCTATGCTGTGGTTTCTCAAGTGTCTCCAGTTCACGCGATTCTCTGAAATCATTAAAATAGGTATAGAGAGAGCAGTGAATTGTCGTACATTTTATCAAAAGATTAAATTCAGAATCTCTCTGTACTGTGAAACCTAAGTGTAATGACCTTATTGATTTTATCATACACGTCAAGGCAGATCCAACATGACGTTAACCCCTTGAATGACACGAAAAGGCTGTGAATGAGAAATGACAAGTGATTTTCTTCTTGTTCAGGCCAGTGAGGATTTACCATGGATAGAATGAGATAGCAGAGCGATATTATATTTAGAGGGTCATTTTGTCGTGTTTTCTATTACCTGGAAATTATCGTCCTTTGTCAGGTGTTTGTTTCTAATTTATTGTCGGATATAGCATAAAACTGACTAATTGATCTCACATATATACCTGTATTAATTATGCATGTATCATAAGTTCATCTGAACATTTAAGTCTCCATTATTATGCTCACTATAAATGTATATATCTGTTGTGGTTAAAACAATTAAACATCATTACCAGATGCTGAATCTTTTAACTTACCAATTTTTTATTTAAACATATTTTATTGCACATAGCAATAAAGCCCTTTCCAAACATATTAATACACAACACATTGTATTTACAAGGTGGCAGTAGGTATAGTAACAAAGAATTATAAACAAGTTGTGTGTGTGTGTGTGTGTGTGTGTGTGTGTGTGTGAGAGAGAGAGAGAGAGAGAGAGAGAGAGAGAGAGAGAGAGAGAGAGAGAGAGAGAGAGGTGTATAACACGAGCTTTGTATGTTAAGAATACTTTGTATATATGTAGATCATGTATCTGCTCCTTCTCCATGCTAGCGAAACAGGTGATACACTGTCCACATGTCTAAACTCACAACTTGTCAATGTTTATCACTTCCCGTGCTTTGTTTACTTCCCCCTTGTCACTCGTTGCTTTCTTGAATATCCGTTTCCACTTGATCGCTTTCACAGAACAGGTACATGCTACACACATACAAATGTTTTTTCCAATATAATGATTTATTAGCATATGTTCATAGACCAATGGTAAACGTTTGTAAGACAGACATCGTTTGAAGTTCATCAGAAATACACAGTAAAACAAGATATCTTACACTATATCTTGTTTTATGCTACATTACAAACAGTTGAAAGTAAAGTACCATCCAATCATAAACACTTGGTTTTTAATTACCTACTTTTTAGAAAACGTTTGAAGTGGAGTACCTACAAAACGACACCCTACTCTGAACCACCAAACTCTTTAAGCACCTGGTAGTGCAATATTTCATAGTTCCCGAATAATGGCAATATATTTTACTGATTTCATAACTAATTTTCAATTTTAGAAGTTTAATTACAAAAAAGCTATTAAACAGTGTTGGATAAAAAAATAAAAAATGAAAGTATAGAATATAGAGTATATAAGAAACCATATTATAAAGTGTACATGGTGAATGAAGGTGAAAGATATATTGGGTACATCATGTTTGTTATGGCTTTTATAATGCATATCTTAGCCTGTCTTGTTTTGTCTTGTCAACCTTGCTGTGAGTCCTGACCCATCAAGGGTATAGGTAACACGTCATTTATGTAAAAAAAAAAAAAAAATAATAAAAAAAAAAACGTGTGTATGAATCACTAAAAGAATGGAACGACAATTAACAATTTAAATGAGATCAATTTTAAAATACATTTTAGAGATATTTTTCTTGTCGAATTGATGTTTTTTTTTAAAATTCGATTTGACCATCGTTTAATCAAGACAGACATATTAACTTATTTATAAAAAATAATCCACCATTGCTTCAAAATTGCTAAAAAATTGTACTGATTTAAGATTGTGCAACACATGAATACCATGTCCCGAAATTGTGCAGTTCATCGCCGTTGACGTCTTCATCATACACCCGGACATCAGAGCCAGGAAAATGCAGATAAATGGTCTCCAAGATACCATATTGTCACCTATTGTGAACCTGGAATTAAAAAATCTCAATCAGTGGCAAGGTCTTCCATAATGTATATTAATCAAAGATCCTCATTTAATCTCCATATATATCTATCATTGTAACTTAGATCCTCATTTAACCTCCATATATCTCAATTATTCTAACCAAGATCCTCATTCAACCTCCATATATCTCTATCATTCTAACTCAGATCCTCATTCAACCTCCATATATCTCTATCATTCTAACTCAGATCCCCATTTAATCTCCATATATCTCTATCATTCTAACTTAGATCCTCATTCAACCTCCATATATCTCTTATCATTCTAACTCAGATCCTCATTTAACCTCCATATATCTCTATCATTCTAACTTAGATCCCCATTTAATCTCCATATATCTCTATCATTCTAACTTAGATCTTCATTTAATCTCCATATATCTCTATCATTCTAACTTAGATCCTCATTCAACCTCCATATATCTCTATCATTCTAACTTAGATCCTCATTCAACCTCCATATATCTCTATCATTCTAACTCAGATCCTCATTCAACCTCCATATATCTCTATCATTCTAACTCAGATCCCCATTTAATCTCCATATATCTCTATCAATCTAACTCAGATCCCCATTTAATCTCCATATATCTCTATCATTCTAACTTAGATCTTCATTTAATCTCCATATATCTCTATCATTCTAACTTAGATCCTCATTCAACCTCCATATATCTCTATCATTCTAACTTAGATCTTCATTCCATAATCTCATTCAACTAACTTAGATCCTCATTCAACCTCCATATATCTAACCTCCATATATCTCATATATATCATCTCTATCAACCTCCATATATCTCTATCATTCTAACTCAGATCCTCATTCAACCTCCATATATCTCTATCATTCTAACTCAGATCCCCATTTAATCTCCATATATCTCTATCATTCTAACTCAGATCCCCATTTAACCTCCATATATCTCTATCATTCTAACTTAGATCTTCATTCAACCTCCATATATCTCTATCATTCTAACTTAGATCTTCATTTAACCTCCATATATCTCCATCATTCTAACTTAGATCTTCATTCAACCTCCATATATCTCTATCATTCTAACTCAGATCCTCATTTAACCTCCATATATCTCTATCATTCTAACTTAGATCTTTATTTAACCTCCATATATCTCCATCATTCTAACTTAGATCTTCATTCAACCTCCATATATCTCTATCATTCTAACTTAGATCCTCATTCAACCTCCATATATCTCTATCATTCTAACCTAGATCTTTATTTAACCTGTATTTCATATTCCACTTAAATACAAAATACTAAGATTAAGTCTTGTTACTATAAGTGTTATCCACTTATACTCATTCAATGTCCAAATTTACAAAAAAGGTACTTACTGTTTGTCATTTTAACGTTACACCCTTCGTGTTTAATTCACTCTCTTCCATGTGTACGTATATATAAACAAACAGAACAGCAGCCGTGTATAGAACGGCCAGACGGTTCTATCCCCAACCAGGAAGTATTAGGTCGTCAGATCAGGCTTAACTTCAAATATGTAAACCACTCCTTCCTTTTTCAATAGTTTTCTTATTTTTAACTACGATATTGAAAAAAAAGTCACGCAGTGACAATTTAGTCTCATGGATTTACATACGAGGACACAGATTCTCGGTTTTGTCAGGGCGGTGTTAGGTTTATTTTCGTTAAATGCATCTTCGTCCGGTAAAGAAACTATATATCCGGGAAGTTTAATAATGATATAAAAAAATAATAAAAGTATGGTTATCTTGATATCAGCAAATTAGAATCTTTATATTGTATGTTTGTTACATGTGTGTTTAATATAAGCACGAGTGTTACAGGCTTACAGGAAATGTTAACTATCTGTGAATCCTACAACCGTAATAGGAGATTCTTGTGTTCTGCTGTCTTATTTAAATGTAAAAACCATTAGCATAAGCTGTAATATCCGTCTCTATAATAAAATATCATTTATTGTTGGAGAATGTGTTCATTAAAGTATTCTTTTGAACTATAAACAGAATTATATGAAAAGAACAAAATTAGCTTGTAACAACGTAAAAAGTGGTACTAGGACCCGTTTGCACTCCGGTGTACACCAATGTGCTTTAAAACCTATTAACAGTTTCAAAGATTATAAAAATTAAAGTCTACCCTTCTGCACTGCATGGATGCGTACTTTGAATACTTTCGAAAACTGAATTTTCAATACTAGAGTGGATCCAACATTTTATTGTTAAGTTTGTCCAGAGTCTTGATAAGAGAATAAAAGTAAGAGGCTTATACAGATATCAAATAAAATTTACTTATGTTTTTATTCAGTTTTTCAAAGCACATACATGACAATATCATAATATATTTCACAACACACTAATTAATAGATCGAAATAAAAGTATGTGTATACAAGACATCTGTGTACAACCACTCGTATCACAATATTTCACACATACCATACATTGCTACTTCATGCTTTCAAATAACTTAGTATCATTCATGAGATTTCAATCGATCCAAGATGTCAGTTTAGAACCTTAAATAAACTTGTTTTAATAGTCATGTGTTGTGGATTTTGAGAGAAAGGAAATGGAGATAGACAGGTAATTACAAAGAGAGACAAAAAGAACCAAATAGCAGACACGTGCACAGGGGCAGGAAACGTCAGATTGAGCAAGACGCACCGACAGACGAACACAAAGACATATAAGCACAATGTTTACAATTGACACAGAGACAAGTGTTGACAGATTAGAGAGAGACAGGCCTTCCAAAACTCAGAAAAGTATAAAATTAAATAGACAATTGCTTTATTGAAAACATTCACTCTACATCAACTATCAGAGTTCAAGAGACCATTGATAGAAATGAAAGAAAATGACAAAAATCTATTCAATTTAAGGACATAAAAAAATATGTTGATTGAAAAGAAATTATC